CGGGCGCGGACGACCTGGATCGCCTGCTGGTTCTTGAAGCGGACGAGCCCCATGGTGATCGCGGCGTTCCAGCCGGGGTCCTCCTGCGCGCAGCGGAAGTCGATCTCGTGGCTGTCGTCCATCACCACGGTGAAGTAGATGTGCCGCTCCTTCCACTCCACGCACTCCACCGCCTTCATGCGGGCGAAGCTCAGCTCCTTGCGCCGCGAGCCCTTGGGCTCGAAGAGCTGCAGCCCCTTCTCCGTCAGCAAGCAGCGCTTCTTCTTCCAGAGCTGCAGCAGCCCCCCGCTGCGCTTCTCCAGCACCCCCTCCCTCAGCACCTTCTCGGGGGTCATAGCGGCTCCTCAGCCCCCGCGTCCCTCAGCACGGGGGCATCACCCGCTCCGCCTCAGAGCCAAGCGTGCCAGGACCCCACGGGGCACTCGCCAGCGGCACTCAGAGTGGGTGCGCAGCGGGGACCCCCATTGCTGGCCCCAGCCCTGTTGCCGGGGCTCTGCTCCCAGCGCTGCGCAGCGTGTGTGGGATCCCGGCACCGCGCGCCCCGGGAGCTGTCGCTACTTGCCCGGCCGCTTCCCACTCGCATTCCTGCCGCCTCGCCTGGCCCCTCCTGCGGCGCAGGCACCCACAACGCCCGGGCGAAGCCCGGCCAGGCCCAGGCGGCCCCGCGGCACCGGGAGGAGCTTTTGGGGTTGCCCCGAGGGCCTCCTGTGAACCGGCAGCGGGTGGGGATGGAGCTGCACCGCAGCGGGGCTGGGGCAGGGATGGGGCACGGCAGGGCAGCCCGGGAATGGAGTGCAGTGCAGGCTGTTGGGTGCAGTGCAGGCTGTTGGGGGTGCAGTGCAGGCTGCTGGGTGCAGTGCAGGCTGCTGGGTGCAGTGCAGGCTGTTGGGGTGCAGTGCAGGCTGCTGGGTGCAGTGCAGGCTGTTGGGTGCAGTGCAGGCTGCTGGGTGCAGTGCAGGCTGTTAGGGGTGCAGTGCAGGCTGTTGGGTGCAGTGCAGGCTGTTGGACTGAAGTGCCAGCTGTTGGGGGTGCAGTGCAGGCTGTTGGGGTGCAGTGCAGGCTGTTGGGGTGCAGTGCAGGCTGCTGGGTGCAGTGTAGGCTGTTGGGTGCAGTGCAGGCTGTTGGGGGTGCAGTGCAGGCTGTTGGGTGCAGTGCAGGCTGCTGGGTGCAGTGCAGGCTGTTGGGTGCAGTGCAGGCTGTTGGGGTGCAGTGCAGGCTGCTGGGTGCAGTGCAGGCTGTTGGGGTGCAGTGCAGGCTGTTGGGTGCAGTGCAGGCTGTTGGGTGCAGTGCAGGCTGTTGGACTGAAGTGCCAGCTGTTGGGGGTGCAGTGCAGGCTGTTGGGTGCAGTGCAGGCTGTTAGGGGTGCAGTGCAGGCTGTTGGGGTGCAGTGCAGGCTGTTGGGTGCAGTGCAGGCTGTTGGACTGAAGTGCCAGCTGTTGGGGGTGCAGTGCAGGCTGTTAGGTGCAGTGCAAGCTGTTGGCGGTGCAGTGCAAGCTGTTGGGGGTGCAGTGCAGTCAGTTGGGTGCAGTGCAAGCTGTTGGGGGTGCAGTGCAGTCAGTTGGGTGCAGTGCAGGCTGTTGGGCGCAGTGCAGGCTGTTGGGGGTGCAGTGCAGGCTGTTGGGTGCAGTGCAGGCTGTTGGGGTGCAGTGCAGGCTGTTGGGGGTGCAGTGCAGGCTGTTGGGTGCAGTGCAGGCTGTTGGGGTGCAGTGCAGGCTGTTGGGTGCAATGCAGGCTGTTGGGGGTGCAGTGCAGGCTGTTGGGTGCAGTGCAGGCTGTTGGGGTGCAGTGCCAGCTGGCACAAGGCAATAGGGTGCAGTCCTGTTGGAGCTGGGGGGCTCTTGGTGCAGTACCAGCCAGGAAGGGGCTATCGGGTACAGTGCTGGTTGAAGTGGGGGCTGTGGGTCTGTGTATGCAGCACCAGACAGCCAGGGGCTGTGGGAACCCCTGGGCGGGGGCTCACATTCAAGCAGGTGACATCTGGTGTCTGTGCAGGGCTGCCTTGCAATGGGCACAGCCCTCGGCACCCACCTAGCCCTGCACCCAAGGGTGCTGCCCCAGCCCTCAGCAGCACATCTCCCACTTCCCCCCATTCCCTGGGGCAGGGATCTGAAGCCCCCAGCAGGGTCCAGCATCCCTCGTGTGAGCGGTGCAGGGGGATGCAGCGCCCAGCGCGGTCCCGCCGGTGTCCGCCCTCCCCTGCAGCAAAACACCGGCTCCTTTCCGCCCCGTCTCGTTCCCGTTCCGGCCACCGCAGCTCCTCTGTTCCTGTGCCAGCGCCTGGCACCGAGAGTCACGGTGGGGACACCCGAGGCTGCCAAAGCGGGTGATGGTCACTGCCTGCTGTGGCGCTGGGAGCCCGTTGGCCCAGCCAAGGGGAATAAATCACTGCATGGGGCTGGCAGCGCCCAGCCCAGCCCCTGGCTCCCGCATCACCCCCGGGGGGTGCAGCCCCTCCTGCTCCAGCCCCTCCATCGCTTCGGTCCCTGCAGCCGGCGTGGCCGGGGGAAACGTCTGCAGCGCCTTGAGCTGCTCCTCATTATCCCTCATTAAGAGGGCAGGGCAGCGCCTGCCGCAGCCAGAACTGGTTCGTGCTCCCCGGGGCCAACCTCACCGCGCTGGCGGAGATCCCGGTGTCCCAGGACACCCCGTTTCCTGACGTCAGGAGGCCCCGGCTCCCCCGCAGCCCTCTGCATCCCTGCAAGCGCAGCCCCGGGTGCCACCACGAGCACCCCAGCAGGACCGGGAGGAGCAGAGCAGAAGTGTGGGCTCCCCCCACGCTCCAAAGGAGCATCCGAGGCTGTTTTCCCACGCCCAGGTAAAGCTCGGCTTCAGGGATGCTGAGGTGAGAAGTTTCGGGATTGGTGCTCCCAGGTCTGCTCCAGCGAGCTGGGATGTCCCTGGGCGCTTTGGTTGCCCAACCAGACCAATCTCCTTCCCCTCCGGGAAAGCCAAGGGCTGCCAAATCCCCCCCAAACCCAAATCCAGTTCCAGATCTGCTGCTCACTGCTTCTCTAGCCTCCTCCGGTGATCCTGCTCTGCTCTCATGAGATCCCCCTTGCAGCACTGGATGCAGTTTTGGCATCCTCAGTGTAAGGACATGGAGCTGTTGGAGCAAGTCCAGAGGAGGCCATGAGGATGTTCAGGGGCTGGAGCACCTCCTGTATGGAGCCAGGCTGAGAACACTTGGGCTGTTCAGCCTGGAGAGGAGAAGCTGCGTGGAGACCTCAGAGCAGCTTCCAGTGTCTGAAGGGGGCTACAAGGATGCTGGAGAGGGACTCTCCATTAGGGACTGTAGGGATAGGACAAGGGGTGATGGGTTCAGACTGAAACAGGGGAAGTTCAGGTTGGATCCGAAGCAGAAGCTCTTCCCTGTGAGGGTGCTGAGGCGCTGGCACAGGGTGCCCAGAGAAGCTGTGGCTGCCCCATCCCTGGCAGTGTTCAAGGCCAGGTTGGACACAGGGGCTTGGAGCAAGCTGCTCTAGTGGAAGGGGTCCCTGCCCGTGGTAGGGGTTGGAGCTGGAGGAGCTTTTGGGTCCTTTTCAACCCAAACCAGTCTGGGATTCTCTTATTCTGTTCTATGGGTTCCATCACCACCAGCCTCCAGGCCACAGGGTGCTCGGCCACGAGCCAGTCCTCTGGTTCATCTCTTCAGAGGCCAGTCTGGGTCCCACAGCCCCTCCATGCCGGCAGCAGCAAGGGATGGATGCTGCTGGGTGCCATGTGTCTCTGCTGCCTCAAAAGGGAGCTGGGCAACACCTGGGTGCTGGTGTCCAGCACCAAGCTGTGACCATGCACAGGGAGCTGTAACCAGCAGAGGGTAGCAGATGGTCAGAGCATCCTGCTGCAGTTTGGGCAGGGGATGCCCCGAAAGCATCCTTGATCCGACTCCCAGCCCCTGGGCCTTGTCCACCATCTCCTCTGGCTTAAGCAGGAGGCTGGATATGAGACCTCTGCAAGGCCCTTCTGCCCGACCTGCTTTTCTCTGTGACCCTGTGAAACCCAAATGCAGCACTTTCCCCTGGCCCTAAGGAGCAAACAGCCTCTGTGGGGTCCATCACACTTGGTGTATGTCAGTACATCCCCTCTCTCCAACACAACCTCTACAGCTATGGGAAGAAGCGACTAAAGAATCATAGAATCAGACTGGTTTGTGTTGGAAGGGAACTTAAAGCTCCTCCAGCTCCAACCCCTGCCACGGGCAGGGACACCTTCCACTAGAGCAGCTTGCTCCCAGCCCCATCCAACCTAGCTGCTCTGCATGGCAAAGTGCCATCTGCTATCGCCTGACCGCCCCAACCACGCGCCTCAGAGCAATGGAACCAAGTAGAATTTGGGTCTCTGGCTGTGAAACCAGGGATCTGGGAGGGGTTTTGAGATGTTTAAAGAGTGACTCCTCCTAACAGCTTCGTGTAAAACCCAGGCTGTGAGGAACAGACAAAGTGCTTAAGCCAATAAATAAGTCCCAGTCCTGCCTCACAGAAGGATTTTTGCCTCTGTTGTGCTTCTCCGATCACTGCCCACCTCATTTCCTCAACCACAACGCTTATAGCTTGGAAAGAAAAACAACCAAAGTGAAATTCCCTGTGGAGTTCCTAACTCCACGCTGCAGAAGGGCTGATCCTGTGGGTGCATCCCACCAGTGAAACCAGAGAATCACAGAAAGGGAAGAGCTGAGTTATTCAGCACTGTTTGGAGCAGCACCAGCACTGAGAGGGGTGTCCATGTTGTGCTACCAACACACCCAGCAGTGTCTGTCCTTGGCCTCCCAGCACCAACCACTCTTCTTCCCATGGATATCCACCAAGGGAGCAGGGACAGCCCGGCCTGGCTGCCCTACAGAGCTCAGCTGGGCTGGCTCAGGTCGCACCGAGCAGTCCCTGCTTTCCATTGCAAACCACGGCTCCCAACGCTTCCCATCCTCCCTCCACCTCCTGACCCAGCTCTGGTCCCCCCTCCGTGCACCTCCGGAGCCCCGATGGGGAATGAACTCCAGGCACGGCTCAGTTTGGATGTTTATTGCTGGCACGGCTGAGCGCGCATCCCGGCGGGATGGGCAGCGCGGAGCGGGACGTTGCGGGCCTGGCTGCGGGTGGTGTGAGCTGACCCCCTCCCGCCGGCACCCGCACCAGCAGGACCTGCTGGGAATGATGCTGGGAACCCCACGGTGTCAGGATGCGCCGGGTCAGGGCGGGAGGACGGGGCTCGTGCTGTGAAGCAGCGGGTGGTTACTGGTGGTGGTGAGGATGCTCGCTGCGGTGCGGTGCGGGTCGAGCAGCGCAGGCTGGTACAGAGGAGCCCTGGGTACCAGCTCCTGGTGCCTCACTGCGAGTGGACCAGCGCCCCGGCACCCTGCCCGAAGCCAAAGCCCTTGGGACCAAAGTTCTTGGCATAGCAACCTGCAGAGGATGGGAAGGGAGAGACGGGTAAGACCGGCCGCTGGACACGAGCAGGTCCCCTCATCTCAAAGCAGGCACTGCCTAAACAGGACAGGGTTTGCTGGGTTTGTTGGGCAAACAGAGAGGCCTCAGGCACAGCAGGAAACCCAACCAAACCTCAGCCCCATCCTGCTCCATGCACGGGCAGGCCCTGCCTCCACCCTTTGCAGCCTGGGACAAGGCAGCGGGGAAGGTGGCACTGCCCCAGGAAGGTGGCACTCACAGGGAAGGTGGCACTCACCTTTGCAGTAGATCTCCCCATCTTTATCTGCCAGGGTGGTGGACTCCAGGCTTTTGCCACACTTGGCACAGCGGAAGCAGGACTTGTGCCAGGACTGTGGGACAGGAGCAGAGCCCGGTCAGACACCCCTGGGGGACAGGGAGCGAGGCTCTGGCTTCCCAACACCATCACTTCCCTGGTTCTGACCCGAAGCCATTGGCAAAGAGGGTTGAGAACGGGGTGAAAGGGTTTGTGTGGGAAGAATGATCCTCCCAGCCCCAGGGGAGGAAGATACAGAGAGGAAACATCAGGTGTGGCCACTGCTGGGAGATTTCACCCTCCTCCAGGAATCATTTGTAAGGATCAATCACCCCCCATTGGGGATTTGTCCTCCTGGAGCAGCAGGAGCAGCCCTGCAGGTTACCCAGCTGAGACCCATCATCTGCAGCAGGGCTGCGGACCTGCCCCCACAGTGCAGCTCCAAGGCAGGCAGCAAACAGGCACTGAGAATGCAGGAATCAGGCAATGTTTAAAAATACCCCCAAATATCCTCCCCCTGCCTGGCTCTGCCAGGCCCCTGGGGATGCAGCCAGAGCTGCTCCAGGAGGAATTTAAACAAACCCTTTGGAAAACATGAAACCTTTTTTGGAAGAAAATGTGAAATTCGGGGGCTGGAGTCATGCAGCAAACATTAGCACATGAAATAGGCGCTCTGGAATCCTCGCCGGCTTCGCTCCAGGGTAATTGCTTTGCCAGCTTTGGTTCCTTGTAAACACGGGGGCCAGAAGCCTACCAGGAAGCCCAGATCATGGTTTTGAGGGTAAATTCAGCTCCTGTCCCTGGGCTGACCCTCAGTGTGCTCATCACAAACCCCTGCGCTGCCAGCCCGGGCACGATGCTGCTGTGGGAGGCCCTTCCTTGTTGGCTTGGTGCCTCCTTCCCTTGCTCTGGGGACAGGACCAGGAGGGCAGAGCACAGCAGGGTCAGCACATGTGGTCAGTGGCCACATCCAGCAGCAGGGACGTCCACTGTCAGCTCTGCTGAGCAGGGCTCTGAACCCACAAGCCTGGAGAGATGCAGCTGGAGAACCTGGTTTCCAGAGGTGCCAAGATCTCCTTTTGGTGCCAGGCTTTGGTTCCAGGCCACCAGACCCCAAGCTGAGCCTGCAGCAGCCCATGGGACCATCCAAGACCTTCTCTGAAGGTCACCCTCGTGCACACCACTCGCAGTGGCCCATCCATCCCAACCCCTTCTTACCTTTCCACCTCCAATCACCTTCTCGGCTGCATACACGGCTTGGCCACAGCGAGGGCACCCATCAGCACCTCCGACTTTCTGGGCCATTCTGGATGCGTTGGGGTTGGTGGGTCGGTGGGGCTGGCCCCTGTGGGTGGGAGGGAGTTCGTGGTCAGGGCTGCACATGATGGAGGAGGGAAGAGCCATGGGATCACAAATCCCAGCCCAGTTTGGAAGGGCTTTAGGCACATGGCTGTGTGTTAGGAAGGGATGGGAATGTGCTCAGGCAATGAGGACGTGTCCCATCAAGCCCCATCCCACCCTGCAGACAGGGTTCAGCGGGATTCCCCAAGGAGCAGAAGGGCAGAGCAGCTCACAGCATGCTCCATAGGAGACACTGCTGAAGCTCAGCACGGGCTGCACAGCCCGAGCATCACAAGCAGAGAGATGTGGGGGAGAAGGGGCACACCACAGCCCTGGGTTTGAAAACAAGGTTTAAACTCACTCTTCATATCTGATGCCCAGAGACTCGCCCTTGTCAGTGCTCAGGGTCCCTGCTCCCTGCCCGTATCCGTAGCCCTTGGGACCGTACTTCTTGCCATAGCAGGACTTGCAGTAGATCTCCTCTCCATGCACAGCAACAGTGGTGCTGTCCAAGTTCTTCTTACAGACCACTGGAAAAGAGGGGAGGGTCGTTAGCCTGCTCAGCCAGAGCTCACTGCTTACCTGCAGGAAACAAGTCCTCACAAGGAATGGGAGATCAGCTTTCAAGGAGTAAGGAAACCCTAGATCAGATCCCCGGTAAAGGGAGTGTATGCAAAACAGCTGGAGATAAGGATCACAACAAGCACATTGTCTGGCTTTAAAAGGAAGCAACCACCAAAGCTACAAGGTCGGCACTAAGACAAAGCTCTGTTAACCCTCCCCTTGCTGGTATCCTGCACTTAAACCAGGGGAGGTTGAAATTCCCCTACAAACGCCTGCAGGACTCAGGAGCACAGGGATGGGTGTCCCTGCCCCTGGCAGACACAGCCCTGCACACTGCCCATCCACTGCAAACAGCAATAGTCACTGGGGGAAAGGAATGGAGGCAAATGCATTATTCCCTGTGTTTAAGCAGACCAAAGCAGACCTGCAGCATCACCGCAGCTGATGGGCTGCAAGGGTTGTGGCACATGAGGCTGTTTTCCAGACCCCAAGACCACAACAGAAGAGTCCATGCTACTGTGTCCCCATCTCTGGCAGTGCTCAAGGCCAGGTTGGATACAGGGGCTTGGAGCAAGCTGCTCTATGGAAGGGGTCCCTGTCTGTGGCAGGGGTTGGAGCTGGAGGAGCTTTAAGGTCCCCTCCAAGCCAAAGCAGTCTGGGATTTGGGTGGGTGCAGGGGGTGGTCTCAGGTGAGGAACTCTAACTGAGCTGTGTGTTCAAACCTTGGGGATCAGCATGGGATGTAAGACAGGATAGGAGGGGACAGCAGCCAGGCTGGATGGACGGCTCCTGACTCTCCTGACTTTTAGGTTTCTCTGCCTCCTGTCCGAGCTCCGATCTCAGCCCCCGCCTTGGCTTACATCCCTTCCTGGCACACACCACCCAGCCAGCAGCACCCAAACCGGCTCGCAGGGATCCCCGCTGCCTGCCTGGGGCAGGATCCAGGCGCCTGGGGCAGAGTCCACATTGCTGGCAGCAGCCCCGCACGGTGCCTGTTCCAGCAGCCACCCAGCCCTCCCATCCCGCTCACAGGCCTTAAATGTCGAGGCTCTCGGCAGCCCCTTGGCCTCTCTGCCTGCAGCAACGTTCCTTGGCCTTTACCAATATCATAGGAATGCAAACAGAGCACAAACCACAGCTCCGAGCGTGGGGCTGAGGCAGCCCCGTTACTAAATATGGACCTTGGAGAGCCCTGAATGCTGCTGCTTGGAGCAGGAGGTGGGAAAGGAAACGTCTCCAGCCATCTAAGGGGGATCTGACAGGGTCCTCTCCTGGCTATGAGCTCCCATTCCACCTCCAAACCCACCAGGGCAGGAGCAGCATCCTTGCTGAGATTGACCAGCTCTGGTTAACTGCTCCTGTAGGTACCGGGCTGGTGCTGGGGCTCTCTGCATCACCCTGGAGTTCATGGGGAGCATTCAAACAGACCCTCCAGGAGGGGAATTTGGGCACATTTAAAGAGCTTTTCCTAATGATCCCAATGGCATCTTTCTCTCTCCCCTGGGTGGGTTTAGAGCTCTAACCCGAGCTTCCCCAGTCCCTCATCTGCTCTTAGCACAGAGCAGACCTTTGAGAGGCAGCAGGAAAATCCTTTCCCTGCTTCCTAGAAATCAGCCCCCCAGCTCCTGCATCGCAGGAATTCCAGCACAAAGCACTCACCCCGTTAAGGACCCTTTGTTTTTCTAAGAGCTCCACAAAACAATTAGGCAAGAGCTGCTGCCACTTCCAGAGGCCAAACGGTCTCATTACAGAACATTCCTGCCGTGTCCTGTTGACTCAGCTGGAGCGATGCCACCGAGTCAATCACCAGGGCACTCCCTCAGCCCATCTCCGGTGCTAATGCACTGTGGTATGTTTGGCTCCTTTCTGATTGCTTTTGGGGCAGGGCAGGTCAAAGTGTTTGTTTTTTTCCCCTAAAGATAAGGGCTTCAAGCTCCCTGATGGGGCCCAAGCACAGCAGTGGGGAACAAGCCGGGAACCTGAGTTTGGAGCTCGGTGTCACCCGCAGCCTGTGGCATGGAACTGGGAAGAGCCACAGCCTGAAGTGGGGAGCACGCAGGCAGGATGGGCAGAACCTCTGGGATACACGGGTGGGGATTATGAACATCTCAAAGCACAGGGACAGGAGACCCATTGGACCACTCCCTGGTGACTTGCTTCCATGGGATGACCTTCTTCTCCATTTTGGCCATGTATTTCCTTCTTGAAGCCATGCCTTTTGTCCACTTGTATGGCTCTGGGTGCCAATATGGCCCAGCAGAAGCTGCCCCTGGCAATCCAGATGTGTGCAGAGGGCCACAGGGAAGGACAGATGCAGTGCAATGGGATCTCAGTCCCCATACTGATTCTCCACTGACATGGGCTCGGATGGTAAAAGCCAGTGGTAGGGGAAAACAAGGGCAACGCTCGCCAGCCTCCTTATCTGGGTCTGTAGAAGAACCAGGACTTCCTGCTGCAGAGAGCGGCTGCAGCACAGGCACAGCCCGGGGAAAGCCGCTCTGCAGCATCCCTTCCTCGTCCTCTCGAGCCAAAGCAACGCTTCCAGCCTGGAAGCTCCCACACAGAGAGCTACCGGCCACGCTGTGCAGGGAGCAGGGATGGAGCAGCAGCTCCCCTCACATCTGCATCCATCTGTGCATGCCGCATCCCGGGAGCCTGGCCAAGCCTCTGGTGTCCGTGCCAGGTGGATGCAGGAGCGCAGCCCCATGGGGACACTGGTATTTCCCTGCTGGCATAGGTCTACTGAGATTAGTTCTGGCTGAGTGCCTGTTTATAGGCCCGAGCTCTGCTCACTGCCCACATGGCAAAGATCCTGCCTGCGCTCCCTGCTGCAATGGGATGGTGTTATGGGAGCAGGGAACAGGGACCAGGCAAGGAAATGTTAAACCTCAGAAGATGTTAAACCCTGCTCTGAGGATGCACTTCTCTCACTTCCACATGCAGATCAGCATCACCATCATGATGATGGGCCATCAGCACACACAGGCAATGTGCATGATGCTGCTAGCACATGATCCTGATAGCCTGCAAGGGCAGGGGACACAATGCTGGTAAGACACAGGCTGAGGATATGGGTCATCTTTGTATTTAAAGGTCCTGCAGCTCCCTGGATGTGGACATCCAGGTTTAAGGAACTGCTCTCAGCACTGTACCACTGCTCGCCTGTCCCTCCACTGCTCCCCTCATATCCCCAAAGGGAGGGGAAGGGTCTGGGGACCTGCAGCATGAGCCCACGAGTACATGAAGGATCCTGCAGAGCAAGCAGAGGAAAGGGTCTCTGCACTGAGGTAACCCACAATCTCCTGCTTCCACCAGCAGAAGGGCCAGGACACGACTTCATCTTCCTCCCATCATCTCCACAGGCCCAAGGGCAGATCCCATGCCAGTCTCCAAGGCCCAACCACCTTTTTAGTGCAGCAAAGGCACTTGGAAGATTCAAGGTAGCCTCACCCCAGAGCACTGCATGGGATGTGCCACCTCCTGCCACCGCTCTTCACAGAGTCTCTGTCTCTTGCTCCAATCCTTGCTCAGGGAAAGGCTCCTGAGCATCCACCCAGCCCATACACACAAAGCTGATGGGTGCTGCCTGGATGCAGGGCAGGAGGGAGAGGGAAGGGCTGGTACTCACTGCACAAGAAACAGGACTTGTGGAAGCTGTTGCCTTCGCATTGCACTTCCTCGGCGAAGTACACGGCCTTCTGGCAGACACCACACTTCTTCCCTCCTCCCCAGTTCGGCATCCTGCAGAGACAGCATGGGCAGGAACGGCGTCAGGGCGGGAGGTCAGGCAGGGATGGGGCGGGAGGTCAGGCAGGGACGGGGCAGAAGGCAGGGACGGGGCAGGAGGCAGGGATGAGGCAGAAGGCAGGGATGGGGCAGGAGGCAGGGACGGGGCAGGAGGCAGCGATGGGGCAGGAGGCAGGGACGGGGCAGGAGGCAGGGATGGGGCAGGAGGCAGGGACGGGGCAGGAGGCAGCGATGGGGCAGGAGGCAGGGACGGGGCAGGAGGCAGGGATGAGGCAGAAGGCAGGGATGGGGCAGGAGGCAGGGACGGGGCAGGAGGCAGCGATGGGGCAGGAGGCAGGGACGGGGCAGGAGGCAGGGATGGGGCAGGAGGCAGGGACGGGGCAGGAGGCAGGGACGGGGCAGGAGGTAGGGATGGGGCAGGAGGCAGGGATGGGGCAGGAGGCAGCGATGGGGCAGGAGGCAGGGACGGGGCAGGAGGCAGCGATGGGGCAGGAGGCAGCGATGGGGCAGGAGGCAGGGATGGGGCAGGAGGCAGCGATGGGGCAGGAGGCAGCGATGGGGCAGGAGGCAGTGATGGGGCAGGAGGGAGGGACGGGGCAGGAGGCAGGGATGGGGCAGGAGGCAGGGATGGGGCAGGAGGCAGCGATGGGGCAGGAGGCAGGGATGGGGCAGGAGGGAGGGACAGGGCAGGAGGCAGGGATGGGGCAGGAGGCAGGGATGGTGCAGAGTGAGGGGGCTGTAGCGGGCACCCCCAGCAGTGCTCCAGCAGCTGTTCCACATCTGCACTTGCAGGCACCACCCGTGTTTGCTGCCTGCACACCCACAGGGCTGTCATTAGCAGAATGACCCCAGCACCCAGCAGCATGAGCTGCCTCCTGAGGACCACTGCTCCTGCCAGCCAGGAGCAGCAGAAACCCGGCTGTCCCCAAAGCCATGGGACCTCCCAGCTCTTTTCTGTGCCAGGAAAAGGAAGGAAGCAGGACAATGATGGGAAACTGTGCTTACAGAGGTACCCATGGCACCGACCGCATGAGCTCACAGCCCTGCTATGGCCCCTGGACCCAGCAGTGTAGCGGTGCCAGGGTGAGTGATCCTTGGTGCAGGACAGGGTACAAGTTGTCACCGTGGCTGGAAACAGCTCCAGCTTCTCCTCCCCAAACATCCCTTCCATTTCTGCCACCGCAAGGCAGGGGTATAGTGAGTGCTACCCAAAGGGCAGGAGCTGCCCCTGATACCACCAGGCTCTTGTCCCCTATAGCATCATCAGCTTCTGCCTTGCCTGGCCATCTCCCTGTACAAGCTTCTACATCTCCTCCAAGACTGCAGGTACAAGGAAGTCCACAGGCTCACTCCCAGGGCAAAGCACCAGCCCAAGCCACCATGCAGCCCTCTGGCAGGATAGAAATGCTTCTATTTCTCTCTCCTCTTTCCTGAAATGCATCTGATGAGACATGGTCAAGAGGCCCCTTGGTCTGTGAATTTGCAGATAACCCCGAAACACTGTGAGCAGTGAACAGAAGTAGCAGAGCTCCAACCCACAGGAGCCTTGCTCCTTCTGAAGACCAGGCCAACATAAACCTGAAGACGTTCAAGCACCAAAGTCCTACGAGTTGATTCCGAGCAAGGTGGTTGGTGGAGGAGGCTAAGAAGGATATAACAGCAACCAAAGCACTCTGCCAAAACACTTTGTGGTGGTGCCCAATGACATAAGAAAGGTGATGAACACAAGCTGCAGCTTGTGGTCTCCAGAGGCCTTCCTCCATCAACACTTCTGGAATTCTCCATCCTTCTCCCACGTGGGGACAGGCAGCAGAAATCACCCTCCCCGTGTGCTCCCCAACTCCCAGATAGCTAAAGCAGCAGGACAAGGTCCCCCAGACCTGCCTGGCAGGAGAGGGATGTTGAACACAACAGGACCAGGGGCTGTATAAACATCAAATAGGGTGAAGAGGGAGGAGGAAGCGCTGAGACCCCTCTGCTCACAGCGCACAGCGAGATCTCGGTACCTTCCAGTACATGGGAAGGTCGAGCTCTTCCCTGCGTGTGTTTTGCCAGGAAACGGAAAGGGGAAGTTGCTCTCAGCCTGGTTTAACAGCGCCAGGCAGCAGGGGCACAGCCTGCAGTGCAGGGGCTCTGCGGGCTCCAGGGGCAGCAGCCGTGCCGGGGTGCGATCCCAGCGCATGGGAAGTCTCCCTTCTGAAGGCGCTGCGGTGCCAGATCCCTCCCTTCCAGCCTGGTCATCCCAGTCCCAGCCTTTGGATTGCCTTAAAAGGACACAAAGTGCTCCTCTCCAGAGCCTCTCTCTTCCTCCTGCGCCCGGAGGAGGACCCGACCTGGTGCAGGAGTTTCCTTGGAGGGCAGAAACACGCAGCAGCAGCAGGGGCCCACTGGCCCCCTCTGTCCCTGTGCCCAGTGTGCCAGACCCCTGGTCAGCAATAGCAGGCCACTGGCAGCCCCCTGCCCCTCTGCTCCTGCCCATCCCCACCACTCCCTGCCCCACAGCCGGGTGATCAGCATCGTGCTCAGGGACAAGCTGCTTCCTGTAGTCTGGAGCCTGCTGCTCCCCTTTGCCTCCAGGGCACCTTTTCTTTCCCTTTACAGCAGCAGTGAAGGAAGAGGCTCTGTTTGCCCCAAACAACGCGGTTCATCTGCCCAAAGTGAGACATCAGCAGTGGGGACACGTTCCCTGAGCTCCTGCAAGTCTATGGGAGGAGAAAAGATGCTTCTGGGCGAAGCTCATCTGATGTTCGCCTCAAGAGGAGATCAAGCCCTTTTGCTGCTTCTTTTCCTCCATCCACCATGGAAGGTTGCAGTTTAAGCCATGTCACAGTGATTTCAGTGGGCAAAGCCACATCTCAGCAAGACCTCCTGGCACACACCAGGGTGTGCAGAGAGACCATGAAAATCAGTTTGTCCTGGGGATAGCCAGGCTTGTGATAGCACAAAGCTGGGCATGGAGGAAGCCTGAGATAAGATTTAACTGCTGGGAATTCCCTCTTAGACCACAATGTACACAGGCACATGCTGAGAGCCACAGGAGACACCAAAAAGCAGTTTCTGCTACAAGTCAGTATCAGCAGGAAAGAAAAAAGCAGAGCACCCTGTTCATGGAGGCCAGGACCCACACCGGCCATCTCAGAAGCCAGCTTCTGAGATCAACTGGTCATGACCATCCCAATTCCATGGGTAATGACTAGTGGAAGATATGTCACAGAGTCTGCAACCCTTCCAGCATGGTTTTTTGCTGGAATTGAGTGTATTTTGCACCATGGAGCTCACACCATTTTCTGCCCCACTGCAACACACAATGACCGCAGTCACACGTCTCCATACCACTCTGGACCCACTCACAATGAGGAACAGGAGGCAACAGTCCTGCAGCCAGAGACCTCGCTGAGCATAAGGCAAGAGACAAGCCCAAAACACAGGATTATTTTCCTCCCTCCTGCAGCTCCCCATCCCATGTACCACAGCCTCACAGAGAACACAACCCTATGGACAGCACCATCCCTGGCAGTGTTCAAGGCCAGGATGGACACAGGGGCTTGGAGCAAGGTGCTCTAGTGGAAGGGGTCCCTGCCCATGGCAGAGGTTGGAGCTGGATGAGCTTTAAGGTCCCTTCCTACACTGGGATTGTATGATCCTCTGCGCCAGGCATGGCTCAGCCCTGCAGCTGGCCCATTGTCTGCTCTGGGTAGGTCAAGGGGCCTTAAACCCCAAGCTCTTTAACCAAGAGCTGTGTCACTGGGCAGTGCAGACACAAGTGAGGCCCGCACAGAACCACCCAGGTCTGACACTTCTGAAGATGAGTTTTAGTATCTGATGTCTGACCCTTTGCATTTCACTGGGTCAAATGTAAGCTACGGACTCACCCATGTTTCAAGGCTACGTTAAACCACTAGCATAGACCAGTATGGAACCAGTATGACCTGGTGGTTTGGGATGTCCTCTAAACCTGGGCTGTAAGGGGAAGCAATGAGCAGATGAAGCCAAGCAGGAACACACATGGTAAGCCTCTCCTTAGATCAGTGTGCAAAGCTGGCAGCCCCCTGCCAGAGAGTGGCTGGGATTGAACTGCTGGAGCTGAAGCAGCACCCGCCACTGTGCGCTGCTATGGGAGCACCCAGAGAACCAGAGCATCATAGAATACCAGGCTGAAGGATCATCTGCAACAACCTTCCTAGGCAAAGCATGACCTAGACTGTATGTCCAAGCACCCTGTCCAGCCAAATCAAGTGTCCAGCAGTGTCAAACAGCAGTGCAGGTTCTCCCACTTATGTGCTGATATGTTTTACTTGTATCCTACAGTAATAGCAGAGCAATCACTTTGTGCTTGAAGGAGGTCACTGAGGAACAGAAGACTCATGCTGGCCCCTGTAAAAGGTTCTTTCTTTGCTTCAATCAGTGTTAATACAAGTGGATGGCAGAAAACACCATCAGTGCTGCATGAACTTCACCCCCTAGAATGTTCACAGCAGTCCATGCAGGATTATTACATACCCTGGCAAAGGGACAAGTCAGAGGGGAAGAAACCACACCAGGAGCCCCAGGCCCTGGGGTCTGCACAGTGCCTCCCAGCGCAGAGAACAGCTGGCATAGGCATGAAACGAGCAGAAATCTGAAGCAGGAGGCACCAAGACAGATGGGACATGTGGGCAGAGCAGGAAGGGACCAGCTCATGGGGATCACAGGGAACACCATGTGGGAAATCACCAGGACAGAGCACCAGGGACTCAGCACCAGTAAGTGCCATCAGGCCATGGAGCACTCTGCCCCAGACAAACGGCGCCTGTCACAAAGCAGCTTTCACATCACCTGGGCACAGGTTGAAATAACACTGCAAGAGGGAGGTGGGAGCCTCACCCCTGTCCCCCCCCCCCCACATCAGCCGGGGGGAGCAGTGCCTGGAATGCCAGCAGTGTAAGCAAAGGTCGGTGGTGGTGGTGAGCTGGTGAGCAAGAGGAGGACGGGGTCCTGAGGCTGGTGAGCACCAGGACACAGCAAAGCCCTGGGCATCACCAGGGAGAAATCACAGAACTGACCCAGGGGATGGGGCTGTATCAGGCCAGGCATCTCTGAGGGCTTTGCCATAGAGGAGGCAGGAAGTCAGGAGGGTCCATGGTCCCCTCACACACAGCTCATCTGCTCTACAGGTCCTCATGCAGCACAGCCTGGCACTGCCTCTGCTGCCACCACTGAGGCAGCTTCCAGGTTTGCTGGGCCAGGGAAAGGGCTGGTATGGCCAGTGCTGCCCAGAGCCGGGCTATTGCCTGTGGACCAGCACTCTGTGGCTGCTGCCCACACTGCTTCCAAGCCTTGGCTGCAAAGGCAACTTGATCCCAACTGCACTCCTCAAAGAAAAAACTAATTTTACCCAGGGAAAAAAAAAAAAAAAAGGCAAAAAGAATTGTCAGGGATGCCAAGAAAAGCTTCCTGCCAGAATCCCATTCCATAACCTGACCAAGCTCACTTGAGCTTTTGCAAAGCCCTTATTTCCTAATTGGTCACATCCTTGTCATTTTGTGCTGCCTCCCAGGAGCAGGGGGGCCAGAAGAGAAACCAGTCACGCCAGAGGTCCAGGCACTGACATCCCAGCCGGAGAGACCCCGATCCAGGGGACAGGAGAGGCCGGCAGCAAGCCTGAGGCTGGGTAGACACCAAGCAACGGGAGCAGTGAGGGCACCATGGTCCTCCCCAGGACCGGGAGTGCCCACAGACACTGCCCCCCCATCCCAGCCTCACCACGACCCACCAGGAGATGCAGCATCCAAAGCCCATCTCACACCAAACACCACTTTTAGCGCTTCACCTTCTCACCCGCTCCATCCCTGTCTCTGTTTGCCAAGTGCACATCAACACCCGCTCCTACGCGCTGGCCCCGCTGCCAGCTCCGAGGTTTGGGAAGCGGCTCCTGCAAGCGGCTCTCCCGTGTACCCCGCCAGCTCCTCCGCACCGGAACATCAGCGCACGGCAGCGGAGAGGCCCGATCCCCGCGGTGTGAGCTGCGCTCACAGCGAACCCACAGGGGAACGGGATGCAAGCGCCGAGCGAGGACCACAGCCCCGAGCTGTCCCATTGCCAAGCGCGGAGTAACGCGAGCAGAAGGTCGGGAAGCACCAGCGGGTGCCCGCTCTCTGCCGCCTTAGCAAAGTTCACCGGGGCTGATGCAAGAGCTTTGGCTTCCGCATGTGCCCCATGTGCGCGCACACGGCGGGGTCCGCGCTCCCCGCCCCGCATCCCACCGGGTGGGTGATCCCGAGGGATGCGGCAGCTCCGGGGATGGAGCCGCCCGCCCGGGAACCGTTGGCTCCGCAACGGGACCGAGCACCGGAGGGGCCCCGCGGCTGCCCCCGGCCCGCACCTACCTGCAGCTGGGCCGGGCCGGGCCGGTCGGTGTCGGGAGCGGCGCTGGGGCCGGCGGCCTCCCGGGGCTTTTGTTGGCGACGGGAGAAGGCGGGTCGCGGGGCGGCGGCGGTTTGCGCTCGGCGCCAGCCAGGCCTGATGTCACCGTGGCCGCCGCCCCGAGGGCCCCACGGAAGGAGGAACCAAGCGGCCGGGACCATCACGGGGAGCCCCCGGCCCCGGGGTCCCCATCACCGGCCCTGGGGACCTGGGGAAGCACGGCCCCAGCCCCACACCACTGGGAATCTGCCCCCATCCCACTCCCACAGCCGGGAGCTCTGCTGGCGGATGAGGAACACCACAAAGTGGCCACACGCTGGCTGTGTAATATGCAGAGTTTATTAAACAAGCGCACTAAAGCAGGCACACTAATGTGAATATCTCTGTATAATTAATAAGTACAATAAAACCAATCAGAGATATAGGTATAAAGTAAAGTAGTGAAGGAAGGCAGCAATGCACTAAATCATTACTGCACACGGAGAATAGAGATTAAGAAGAAATACTTCACCAGTTGCGGCTGGATCATCATCCAGGCCCACACTTCCAGCTGGGAATACAATACACTGTGGCAAACAACATACTTTGTAATGTCTCTCAGTCATGAGAGGGAATCAACTCTCAGCTAGGTTCCCATCCGTTATACGGAGTGAACCCTTCGGAGCAGCAGTGGCAGCTCACTAAAGCCCACAGGCTGGTTACCAAGTGTATGTGCCATCGCAGAGCCATAGAATCATCTAATCAGCTAGGTTGGGAAAGACCTTTAAGATCACCCAACCCAGGAGTACCCCAGCACTGCCAAGTCCCCGTTAAACCACATCACTGAGGTCCTTGTCTCCACAGTGTGTGAACACTTGCAGGGACAAGTCCTGGGCAGCCTGTTCCGATGCCTGACCTCAATGAAGAGATGCCTGTCAGATGTCCCACAGCCCTTGCCGTGCTCCCACCACACATGCAGGTCCCCTCCATGCCCAAACATCCTGGGAACAGCCTAGAGGAAATGCAGCTGCAGGGCCATGAAGAGAGGCTGCTGTGAGTGCCATCCACTGTCACTTGCTGCATGAGGAGCTGTCTTTGCTGCTTGCAGCTGTGAAGCTGTATTTTGAATGCAGCCTTTCAAATTACAAGTGGTGCTGGCCCCCAACACCAGAGGGACGTGGAGCTGTTGGAGTGAGGCCAGAGGAGGCCATGGAGATGCTGCGAGGGCTGGAGCAGCTCTGCTCTGGAGCCAGGCTGAGAGAGCTGGGCTGGGGCAGCCTGGACAAGAGAAGGCTCCTGAAGGGGAGACCTGAGAGCAGCTCCAGTGCCTGAAGGGGCTGCAGGAAAGCTGGAGAGGGGCTTGGGACAAGGGATGTAGGGACAGGCCAAGGGGAATGGCTTTAACCTGCCCGAGGGGAGACTGAGGTGAGCTCTGAGGCAGAAGCTCTTCCCTGTGAGGGTGCTGAGGCGCTGGCACAGGGTGCCCAGAGAAGCTGTGGCTGCCCCATCCCTGGCAGTGTTCAAGGGCAGGTTGGATACAGGGGCTTGGAGCAAGCTGCTCTATGGAAGGGGTCCCTGCCCGTGGCAGGGGCTGGAGCTGGGTAAGCTCTAAGGTCCCTTCAACCCAAACCAGTCTCTGGGTCTGTGAAATGCCACCGGTCTGGGGGACGTGTCAGTGACCCCTGATCCGTGCGCTCCTTCAGCGGTTCCTCTGCTGAATAACCTGAGGCAAATCCCCTGTTGGGTACCACAGCACAACCTGAGGGGGCAGCCCCTCCGCTGGGCACCGTCACCGCCGGCCAGCAGAGGGATGCTCAGCACCGCAGAGCCACGAGAAGGCGCAGTGGAGCCAAACCCCATTGGAAACGTTCCCGGTTCGGGCCGGTAGAGCAGGGAACCCGCTGTGGCTGTGCCCCTCGCCCCGCTCCCCTGGGGCTGGTGCCGCCCCGGCCATCACTGTCACCCCCCCCCCCGGCCCTGCCCGGTGCCTCCTCGCACCGCGCCCGGTCGGCGGGAGAGAGCCGGGAGCTGCGATGGCGGCGGCGCGCGGGGGCTGCTGGGAGTTGTAGTCCGGTGCCGGGCAGGTGCAGCTGCTCGCGGGGGCTGCCGGGAGTTGTAGTCCTTCCTGCGCGGGCAGGTGCGGCGGCGCCCGCGGGAACTACATGTCCCGGCATGCCTTGGGGCGCGGGCGGCGCGGGCGCGGCGGCGGCGGCGGCGGTGGGGGCGTATCGAAGATGGCGGCGGGGGCGCTGCGCCCCGCTCCCGGCTGAGGCGCGGTGCGGTGCGGTCCCTGCGCCTCAGTGCGGCGGCGGCGATGTCAGAGCCGGAGCACCTGGGCGGGAAGCGGGCCGAGTCGGCGCGGCTGCGGCGGGCCGAGCAGCTGCGGCGCTGGAAGGGCTCCCTGACCGAGCAGGAGCCCGTGGCGCCGGGGGGCGGCCGGGGCCGACACCGCGGCGATGGGGGGTCCCGCGTCCGTTTCGAGGAAGGCGCCGTCTTCCTGGCCGCCTGCTCCAGCGGGGACACCGAGGAGGTGAAGCGGCTGCTGGGCCGCGGCGCCCGCATCAACACCACCAACGTGGACGGGCTGACAGCCCTGCACCAGGTACCGGCGGCCCGGCGCCGGGGCGGGGGGAGTCGGGCCCGGGCTGGGGGTTGTTGTGTGTGGGGGGGAACCTCGGCCTCATCCCTCCGCGACGCTTCCCCGCGCTCCTCGCTGGGGCAGCGGGGCTCGGGAGGACGCGTTTCGGGGGTGCCCCGGTGCTGTCGGAGGCAGCGGGTTGTTTATAACCGATACGGCTTTGAGCCCCGTCAGTGTGCCGGTGCCGTGCTCACGGCAGGGTGTTCCGGTCCTCACAGGGGTGCCGAGTGGCTCACGTAGTAAAAGAAAGCAGTGGGCTGGCAGAACCGATTCATTCATTTTGGGAAAACTTCCTCTTTGTGCTTGGGATCTGCTGAAATAGGGAAAAATTCCCGCCGGGGGGGGGTTAGTTTTTGCGAGGCGAGAAGCGTCTCCTGCGCTTCTGTGTTGTATTGTATTAGAGTTGCCTTGAAACTCCCCAGACTGCTCTTTGGCAACCGCTGCAGAGAGCAGAGGGTGCCCGCGTCTCAGACAGGTGACATGGGCTCTATTAATACTCATCCAAATGTGCTGAAGATGATACAAAAGTGGGTGCAGAGGTTGGCTCCGGAGCGGTAAAGCCTCCCCTGTCTGGCAGCGTGTGCTGTGTTTCACCCGTCGCTGTCAGTGTGTAAATGAGCAGGAATGTGAGGGAGCCTGTGGGATCACTGTCCTTTAATGCTGGGGAGCCTGTTGCTGTTGAAGACTGGCTCAGGATTCAGCAGGGCTTGTGAAATCAGTGTCCCAGATTGTTGCATCTGGTCAGTGAAATGAATCTGATTTGAATCCAGGCCAGGCTCAGGAAGAACGTTTTCTTAGCTCAAGATCTGGTAGATTAAGCATGGAGCGTAGCGACGGGGCCGGGAAAAGCAGCGCAGTCCAGGAATAACATCTGGGAATAATGTGTCTGTAAAGAATAATAGCACAAATCACAGGATGATAATTGAGTTGATTGGGCTTTCTTCTTTGCTGGGCTGGTATTACTGAACTGAAGCATTGGGACATGTAGAAGCTCACTTGCTGGTGGCTGTCACTGAACAAGGGGCAGTGATATTTGTTCATTTTGCTGGAGTTCCAAAAATAAGTTATGAAGCAAAGAGCACAGGAACTTACAGACTGACAGGTTGGGTACAGCTTCAGTTGCCAAAGCAGCGAACGTTGTAATGCACCAGCTTGTTCTTTTTTGGTATAGCAAATAGGTTACACTGTGATAGTAATCCCTGGTACAGCACAAATACATGTATTATCAGATCAATAAATAATCATATAGGCCCTACTATGAGGTGGTTACTGAAAGCATTTCAACAAGCAAGAAGTCTGAATCTAAGGTGGGTAGAAGTGTGGTGGAAGTGGGATGACTTCATGAGGGCTTCCCAGCCAGGACTGATTGTGATCCCACTGTGAACCCATGTTATCTTCTTGATGTATGTAACGTGAGGCTTGGCCACCAGAGTATCCTGAAGTGCATTAGACCCACCAGACCATGATCTCTGCAAGGTCAAGCCTCTTGCCAAGCCACATATTGACAAGCAAGCTGCAACTGTAATTCTGTGTACCTAAAGAATGGTGTCTTAGGAGCTCAGGATGGGGTAACACTGCACACTGTAATGCTGAGGGCTTGATACTTGGAAGAGCTTTTAGATGAGTGAGTGGCCCACCAGATGGGAGCTGTACAAGCAACTCTTTCTTCAGCAACCTCACAGGAAGAGAGGCTGGCTTGGCTTTGCCTTTAATAAAAACTTGATTTCAGTGCCCTGTTGCTGTAGTAACAGTTTCTCATCTGCACATCTCCGACAACACCAAAGAGATGTTCTTGTGCACCCAAATAGAACAGACACCCGTTTGTTAAAGGTTTTGTTGTACGTGTGTGTCCTGCGTCTAGAAATCTGTATCAGATGAAAATGCTCATTGTCACGTTGGAGAGGTTGCTGCGAGTTCCTTTTCACTGTGCAGGTCCAAAATAGGTCTGGTTTTATATGTCTTGGGGAATGATATTGCCTGTGCGCAAGCATCAGCTGAAGGGTGGTTAGGCTGAGGGTCCCCAAGGTGCTGCTTGACAAATGACGTGAGTGGAGCAGACGTGAGGATGTTTTTATAACTTCTCTTAGTGTTAGACCCAAAACTGGTGAGATACAGGGGGCAGATGGTGGTGACCACCTGCTCTGGTTTAGTACTTGTAAAACCAAGTGGCTGTGAAGTGAGGAAGGAAACCCCACATGTTGAAGAGGTGATTTTGTGGAAGAGAAGATCGGGTATAAATCTCTGGTTAAAGAACTTTAATATTTAAGTGAGGCTCACTGGGTACAAACAAGTGCCTTTTTAGGCCATGGAAGTGGGAACACAGTCAGTTGACTGAATTTACCAGAGTCACCATCAGCTTCTGCAAAGTCTAAGGCTAATCTTACAGCTTGGGTTAGTTGGATTGGTTTGCCCAGTGCCCCCAAATGTGCTGTGATGTTCAGCACCAGTAAACCTGCGCTTTCTCTAGAGCGTGGTCCACTGTGACTAAGAGCCGTTGTGTACT